GGTGCCTTCACTGCAGCAACACGTGAGAGCATACAAATATTTGTGTGTGTGGGCGTGATACACAAGATGAGGATATTCCAACGCTTCCACAATTTCTTACTTGTCGGCTTGTGCCGTGAGATTAAAAGGAAAAAAAGTGGTGCCGTAAATCACTTTCACTGGCGCCTACACTGTGAAGCCCCTTGTCAAGGTAAAAGTTATAATGACGACAAAGAAGCTCCCGCATGTCCCGGACGCAGTTGGAAGAAAAAAAAAACTTCAAATAAATTAATTGGCAGTCAATGCACGACCACGCTTTTATTGAAGAGAAATTGTCAATAAAAATCCCTGTTATGGTTGCACAATGAATGGGGTATCAGTTCTCGGTGACACAGCGGTTTGAATGAAAATGCCGTCAATGCCATCCACAGGGAGTCGCCATGTAAGGAAATACAGACAATTTTTTTATCATGGCACTATTCTTCTTCCCCGCTTCTCTCCCAATTGCAAAAAGCAGCAGATGGATGGCCGTCACCCATCGCACGGTCACCACGCAAGACGAAGCGCCGCATGATTCAACAGGCCTTAACGAAATCGGCGCAGAATTGCTCCTCCGCGGAAGAAAGTACTCAGTGTCAGCTCAGCATGCCATCCATGCATGCGTCCTTCCTCTTTGCCCACCGTCATCGCCCATCCAGCGTTGCACCTTTTTTTTTTTTCTTTACGCAATGAACTGCGTCGGACCCTCATCGGCAACCCACAAGCCATTTGCCTCCCACAATCACCATTGGCGTGCCGATTCGCCCTACGCCATATATTCCAATGCTGCGATTCTAAACTGGCGCCAAAATTAACGTCCTCCCGCCACAGAGATTTCTCAAGACCACCGGGGTGCTTCACACCCCGCAACCCCGAGGCATTTCACCGCCAATTATTCCGTAAAAAAGAGTAAGCAAAAAATATATATATGTTCAGATAAAAAAAAAAAAGGGACATAAGGCGCGCGATGAAGAATACCCTACCGCCTTTGAAGTGTCACAGCGACACGCACTCATGAATTTTTTCTGCTGGCGCTATTTTCATTTTTTGTTTGTTTGCTTCAAGACTGTCACTCCGGGACTCTCCTCTTCCTTTTTTTTTACTTCACAAGACACCAACCCCCCCACCGTTGACACTCAAATGTGCGCCTTCAGAGAAGAGAAACTTCCCACACGGGCCGCCAACGCAGTTCCCACGGCAAAAACAAAATAAAAATAATAAAACAGGAGAAAACCCAACAGCAGGAAGCCAGTGAGGATAAATAAAGGTGTGGTCTACTTCGTGGCCCGCCTCTGGCTCTATTCGCGGTCAAGGTGGTGATCGAGAGCCTTCCGTCTTCCATTAAGTTCACCCAGCCGCGCCTTTAAGAAAAAGGCCGACGCATCGCAGGCCGCTGGATAAAAAGGAATTGCACGTGCGAGCGCAGCCCTTCTCGCCGCGGCGCGTGTGCCCTGCGTGTTTTCTCGGAGCCAAGACAAGCGGCTCAAAAGATCAAACAATTCTATGCAAACATTCATTTTCGCAGCCGCGTACTTCTTCTCCCCAAACTGCGTCGCTTTGATGACGATCCTGCGGCTGCCCTCGAGAGACAACAGACGCAAAACAGAATGGGCGAGGGCCCTGTCTTCTCCTTCGATGCAGAGCCACGGGTACTTGCGCATCAACGCCGCCGTATCGTGGGGGAACGAGAAAAGAATGGCACGCATCAACTCCGCGTAGCAGTGCGGAGCGCCTGAGTACACGTCCTCCTCCGTCACCGCATCCCACCCATCGAAGCCGAGCGAAGACAATCTCCGATGCAACAGGGAGAACGTGGCGCTCAACATTTCCGCAAAAAATTCAGCCCGAGCGCTGTTTACGCTACGACTAAAACAAAAATCGCAAGAAAAAAAAAAGTGAAATAAAAATTTAAAAAGAGAGAAAAACACCGAGCGCCGCGCAAAAATTGGGTGGTCCCCCTTTTCATTGGTTCACAGAAGGGACGGACGCCGCACCCGAGCACGCCCCTCTCCCGTTCCGCCGCCACCAAACGCCTTGAGGCATTTGCGTCTCCCTCCCAAATCCGAAGACGCCAAACCACCAGAAAACTCAGTGCAGAACCAAATTCGCGTTGCCGGCACAAAGTAGTAGACATGACATAAAAAGCCCGTCCTCAAAAACGCCATAACGACCCACACGACTCCCCCCCCACTTCCCTCCAGCCCCACCAGAAGCACCCCGTGCGGTTACAATCCGTCAATTTCATGCCGTGCGCCGAGACGTATCCCTCGCCACACAGCAGGAGGTTGACAAATCGGCATTTCCCGCATGAAGGCACACACACACATCAAGTAACTGCTGTTTCCGTCAAAGAAATTAGCAGCAACAACAAATTGGAAAAAAAAAAAAAAACGTATCGTGAAATTGAGGTTCATCACCAACGGCCGCCGTTGACCGTTGCGTGGCTTGAAAGCAGCAGACACCTCGCACATGAAGATTCCGTCAAAAAATACACGCACATGCACGCATGCATACATACCGAGAAAACGAATCCGCCAGACCCTTTTTGTCCATTCCCTAAAAATATGTGCCAAAGAAAACAAAAAAAAAGGAAGTCAACCAAAATAAAAAAAACTTAAAACATCCATTCCTTCATTCGCCCATGCCCCCAGGAAAGTCAAAATCCGCACATAAAAATAAATATAAATAAATAAATTAAAAAAGTACTAAAAAAATCCTTAAAAAAAAAAATCGTTACACCCAGAAGGCCGATCTATCATAAAGCGGAAGAAACTTTTAAAAATAAATAAATAAATAAATAAATAAATGATAATAATGTAGTCATCAACGACTTATGATAATTAATCCTCGTGAATTGCCCCCCTTCGCGTTTTATCCAAAAACCCTCACTATAATATTAAAAATAATTTGATTTAAAAAAAAAAAAAAAAACAGATGAAGCAGCAATGTCAAGACATCCTGCAAATATAACGGCATTTCCTTCGGACACACAAACACCACAGAAATCGCACTTCTGCGTACGGAGATATTTGTATATTCCTGTAATACCAAAAATCACAAGTTTTTTTTCCTTTTTCACCACTTTATTTGATTGTTCACTTTCTCCTTCAGCTTTAAAAATATCGCTTCTTTTTTCAATGCTTCCCAACAGAGATCTCAAACTACGCCAAGACCCTTCATGGCCTCCGCGACCTTGACAAAGCCGGCAATGTTGGCCCCATTCACGTAATTCGTCTTGCCACCCACTGTGCCATATTTCACGCACGCGTCGTGGATGGAGTTCATGATATCGCGGAGTTTCTGCTCCACCTCCTCGGCTGTCCAGCTTAGACGCGCTGCGTTCTGCGACATCTCCAAACCAGAGATGGCGACCCCGCCGGCGTTGGCAGCCTTTCCGGGGGCAAACAAGACACCGGCATTGATGAATTCCATGGTCGCATCCGTCGTTGTCGGCATGTTTGCACCCTCAGCAACAACCGTGACACCATTCTTTATCAGTGCCTTCGCATCTTCAAGCTCCAGTTCGTTCTGCGTCGCGCACGGAAGAGCAATATCCGCCTTGATGTGCCATGGGCGTTTCCCCGCGTAGTACTGGAGCCCCAACCCTTTTGCGTATTCCTCCACAGTGCCGTGCTTCACGTTCTTGATGTCCATCAAGACCTTCAGCTTTTCAGGGGTGAAGCCCTCAGCGTCATGCACACAACCCCGTGAGTCTGAGACACTGAGCACCTTCGCGCCCAGTTGGAGGCATTTCTCAACAGCGTATTGCGCAACATTGCCAGACCCCGACACAACAACGGTCTTCCCCTTCAGTTCCTGGTTATGCTTCTTCAGCAAGGCATCCAAAAAGTAGACAACGCCGTAGCCCGTAGCCTCGGGGCGCATCTGACTCCCTTGAAACGAAATGCCCTTGCCTGTAAATCTGCAGGCCTTGTTGTTTGTCAGTTTCTGAGTCATGCCTGCCATGTAGCCAACCTCGCGACCGCCAACGCCGATGTCACCAGCTGGAACATCCGTATCGGGACCGATGTGGCGGTACAGCTCCGTCACCAGAGCCTGACAAAAACGCATCACTTCACGGTCGCTCTTCCCTTTTGGGTCAAAGTCTGACCCACCTTTGCCGCCACCCATTGGAAGTGTTGTCAAGGAGTTCTTGAATGTCTGCTCAAAGCCAAGAAACTTGAGAATAGACAGGTTCACTGAGGGGTGGAACCGCATGCCGCCCTTGTATGGGCCAATGCTGGAGTTGAACTGAACACGCCACGCCCGGTTCACCTGCACTTCACCCTTGTCATCCACCCATGACACGCGGAACTGAACGACACTTTCGGGCTCCACCAGGCGCTCCAGAAGAGAATCCTGGCAGTACTCTGGATGCTTTTCCAGAAAAGGCCAAAGCGAGGTCATTACTTCATGAACCGCCTGCTCAAATTCGGGTTGATTGGGGGGTCGCGCTTCTTCACGCACTTGTTGATAAAGTCGTCCACGGAAGTGTACTTCATTATGATGTATTTGACTTTTCCTTTTCTTTAAAATTAGTTTTCCTTGTTATTTAAGTAATTGGTAGAAACAACCTTAAAGGCGCAACTTTAAAAAAAGAAACAGAAAGAAACAAAAATTTTTTCCTACTGAAGACGATGCCAGTGATGCTCTTTGGCGAGCCCTACTGGTAATGCATGTTTAATGCGGCCAAAACAGCTTCAGATAGCAAGAAGGGAGTGCGCAAACCATTCACAGGGACGCAATCCAGCCCGAAAGTGAAATTTGTCTTCTCTCTTTATCATTACGTGTTGATGATCTTTCCCTTCCACCTTTATCGTCATTTGAGAAAAACAATAGGAAAAAAAACAGCTCCTTATATAGAAATTACTTGTTCTTTTCCCTTCTCCCTTTTCCATTATATATATATATATATATATATATTGGTGGTGATTTGATATTACATGGCGCCTTGCATTGCATTTGATTCCTTGCATTGTGAATCAATGGTCTAAAACAATATGTTCCCTTGCCTGCCCATCCGTGTCAATCGCTTTGCACTGTCGAATGGCATAAAGAATCTTCTCACGCATAGATTCATAAGAAGAATAAGAAGGCAAACGAAGCGTAAAAAAACAAGTGCTACTGGTTGGGAGAGAGTCATGTGCTCCATTCCGTTGAACTTTAATGGCTTCCTTCAGTGGTAGGCGTGTTTGGCCCGTTGTAAATCGCAAAAGCAGCATTCGATCTTCATCCGTCATGGATGCAATAACGTCCAAAAACATCCGTGCATCATTTGCAGGTAAACTTACTTGACAAACTTCACGTAATGCATCGTACGATAATTTCGGAGCTCCACATATTATTAATTCAACCTGCTGCCAACGAAAAGCATTAAGTGTGTATAATGGAACCACCTCGTCAAAGCCCCGCTGGATGTAACTTATTGCAACATCGTATTTATGAAGTTCAAGTGTAGAAATATGTTCTCCAAGTATCTTGGCAGACCGTATCGTTGAGGGTGGAATCTCAGCTCCCAGGTTCATTTGAGAATTTTCCGTCACAAAAGTCGACCAACTTTCAAAAATGCCCGGAAATCTCTCTTCAAGTTCATCTGCTGTACGATCCATGAGGTCCTCTGGTGTCAGTTGACGCATTATATCAGGATCAATCGCAAGAAGATCTTGGCTTGTAGTTTCATCAGAGAGTAAACACTTCCAAAATAACGGTGGAAACTCCACCGCTAGAAGATCTTTTGTCAAAAAACACGATGCAATTAACTTCCCAAAGAATTCAAACATGAAAGACGACTGAGAATTCAGAGCCATAGACACGTTAGGCATCACCGCAGACTGCCCCCCACGACCACACTGAGCAAAAAGAGGATTTAACTGAAATGTACCATTAGGGTGTGTGGTCATAATTTCCGTGGCTAGTTGTGAGAGAATATCACGATATGGTCCACCAGCATCTGTAGAACCAAATCCTGCAAGCTTCACAGCAAACATAGGTGATGCATAAAAGGTAGAAATGGGGCTTTTCTGAAGCTGCACAAATAGCTGTCCAAAGACGGAACGCATAAGAGTCGGATAAGGCCCAAGACGCATCGAGGGGCGTGCTTGCATTGTATGGATAATCACATTCGCCTTGAGCCCTGGACGATTTCGGAAAGGGCGCATCGTCTCATTCTGAATTTTTTCAGAAGACTCTGCAGAACAGAGAAATTTGAGTTTTTTCCACAGCTCAAATAACTCCGTTTTTCGCCGGAGGTCCACTACAGCAGAAAAGACTGAAGTTATTACGTCAAAGACCTGGAGTCGTCTCATATACGGAATCAAAGGATCCAATGGAATCTCGTTAGTAAACGCACCGACCCCAAGAAAAGATGACAAAAGTGGAAAACTTGCCAAATCGTGTGAACGAACCGTAGTACCTGCGTCGTTTTCCAACAAAGCACAGATTTTTTCAGAATTCATAACCGTTTGACAAAAATGAGCCAACTCTGCATAAAAATCGTATCCCTGAGGAACAACCGCCGTGTCAAGACGATCCGGAAATTCTTGTATTGTATTGTAAAGTTGAGCAATGTCCATGCCTGTGGAAACGTCCGAGAGATGTTCTCCATTAAAAGTCGCATCCTCTTCTCTCTCCGCAAAAAACACCGGAAGAGCCAACATTTCATTGGGGTACGTTTCAAATCGGGTTACACTTTCGTTACGCACACCGCGTTGAAGAGTTATAATAACGGTCTGTTCATGATACAGGCACTTCACACTGACGGTGTCTCCCCCTTTCGCTCTGGCCTTCAGTGGCTGAGACTCCTTTTTATGACTGAGGCAGACATACACTTTGCCGCTAGAATCAATAAAATACCCGCAAGATGGCAACCGGATTCTTCGGGACATTTCGTCTCCTTGGGATGGCTTGGAAACAAGAGATCCGGGTAACGCCGCATTCATATCCCACCCAACAACCACGTTTCCCTTTCGTGAAGGGTTTAAAACCACTTCAAATCGTTTTGATCCAAAGGTAGAGCGAAATTTTTCAGAAAACACACCGTAACAAGATCTTATCCCCTCATTAGATGTGGTACTTGTACGCAATTCGTATTCTATACGATGTGCCTCTTTAGGTTCCTCTGTAAAGGCATCAGGTAATGGAACTGGAGGATTACTTGTAATAGCGGCAAGTACAATTTTTGTGGAGGCAGCTATTGCATAGGGGACAGTGGACTTCTTTCCAGGAGGTGTTAATGCTGAACGTTCTAATTGATAACGTCGTATCAACTCGCAGATTAGTGAAATACCAAGCTGCACAACAACAGATGAGGTTCTGCCTTTCCAACATAGTCCATTCATCATTCCCAATAGAGGATCAAAAGATGCACATAAAGCCTCATGAGAGGGCAAAGCACATTGGTCAGTTTTGAGTAATTGAAGAACACAACGAAGAGCCATGTGCCTGATCGATCGAGTATAAACAGTGGCGGTACGAAGGAGCAACAATGTTAACGTTGGACCAAATGCAGTAGAAAGAAACGGTAAAACCTTTTCATTGCTTAAAGAGAGAAAAATAATATTGACACTTGTCTCCACTCCTTCCAAGCTCTGAGCCACTGTTGGGGTTGCAAGGCATGCATAGGCAAACGCAAGCAAAGAAAAGGATGATCTTTTCATTTCTGCCCCAACAAGAACTTCCAAAGCATTCAAATCACTACGCAATGGAGTAAATGGTAACAATATATGTAGTCCTTTGTGTAAGCATGGAGATTTTAAACTCAAAATAACGGTTCCAAGAAGTTGCCGAGCATAAGATACCATGGCGGCCTCTATCTGAGACACAAGACCCACATCTGTCTTACGTGAAGAAACCAAATTCGCAGGTGTTCGTGAATGGCGTGTCAAAACTCCTACAGATTGAGAAACATTTGGAGAGATACATCCCACTCTTAAACGACTCCATATTGTCTCCAGCATCTCCCGCGTAATGACTGGTGAATGCCTATCAAATACTCGCCAATGCAAGAACCGCACTGAAGAAGCAATACCTGATAGAGAAATAGCCAACCGAAACTCTGAAGGACAATCATAACCAGGAATGACCTCATAAAACATTCCACCATTCACCGACACAAAAGCCCGTTTTGCCTGCGGAAAAACACAAAGACGCAAATGAATGCACTGAACAGTCTCTGAAGAAGAAAAATAAAAATTTTCATAATGCTTAAAAAGAGGCAAAGGAACTCGGAGAAACCAATTCGTAGTTACATCCTGAAAGCTTAGTTGAACCGAGTGACGATTTGTGCTCACAATAAGAAGCTCTATTTCGTGAACTTTTTCTCCACAAAAAACGGGCTTGGTAACAGTGCAAAGAAAAGAGCCACCATGTGCAATTTGTCGAACGCAGCGACAGGATACATCTAGAAATTCTGATTGGGTGTGCAGTATGACATCATGGCTAATGCAAAGTTCTCGCAATTCCATTTCCAAAAAAAAATGGGATGGATGGCTCTGTTCCACCACCCCTGTTTCTGTCAGCGTGGACCCAAAATTGCCAGAATTTTCATTCGGTATGTGCAAACATGGCATTTGAGTCACACGAACATCCCTCTGAGAAGTAAGAGAAGTTGCCCTTGAAAGCGTTGTTGTTTTCCCACCTTCGGCAGAACATTTCAACACTATGCCGTTCAAAAAAATATGTTCCTGAAGACATGCACCTGGACGAATAGAAACCAGGGCAGTTGTATCGCTTGCGGACCTGACAGTAATATCCTCAGTGAACCGATTAAGAAAAGCTGCCACAGGAGCATTCATGGCTTCTAGATCCATAGAAGAAAACGCCAAATAAAGATGATTTTCAGACAGGCTGTTCTGTAATTGTTTCACCACTTTGGGCCCAGTGTTGCCTGATAAAATCACACTTCGTGCCCATTCATCAATGTAGAAGAAGGCCTGTCCCTGACTCAAGAGAGTTTCCTGATTAGAAGATTGAGATAAAGACAAATCTTGTGATGTCAACAACAACAAAAATGAAGTATCTGCCATTGCGATAACTTGCCACACTGATACAATGCAGGAACTCGTAATGGGATCAGAAATCCACCAGACAACAGACGGACGCGATGGGTCAGTCTCAGTATTCGACTGGATCCTTTTGTGAAAAACAAGTTGGCGATAGCACAAATATTGATGCGATATCCCCCATGGAGGCTTGCGTCTTTTGCAGAGAATCTTCTGAAGGGTCAAATCCAGTTCTTCTAAATTCGACGATTCCGTAAAGCAGGCATTTCTTATGAGATCCTTATGAAACCATTCACAATGTTCACCCATGAAGACAAGATAATCGTCTTCATTCATATCGAATATCAATCCGGGTCGAGTTTCAGCCACAATCACAGGAATACCCAACAAATTTTGTTGTTTCTGTTGCAAGCAAGTTGAATTGTCGTGGGAAAGTATCCTCAGCCGACTCCTATATCCCCCAGCCTGCGAGGGTAATGTGTAGGTAATGCTACCCTTCAGCAACCGTTTCTGATTCTGAATACCAACAAAAGGCATCACGTTCTCCGATTTCTTCCCAACCGTGATACCTATGTGATCATTTTCTTCTTCCACGGCTGCCATATTTGCCCTCACACCATCCGTCTCGGAGTAAAAAAGAACACCGCTACCACTTGTCGTATGTAGGAATAGGGCCACACGCTCACCTGCCGGAATAATAACGGGATCAAATTCAGTTAACTCAGTCTCCCGCTTGTCAACCAGCTTCATTTCTTGATCCATAATAAGTCGCCATTCCGTTCTTTCGCTCTCTACTCCCATAAATGTTCCGTCACGAACAAAAAGCGTCACTCGAGCCAAAGTCGTCGTATCGGGAACAAAACTCACTCTCGTCACTTTTACCTTGACGTGTTTGGCAACCAAATCAAACATGATGCCGTTATATGAGCCCGCTCCCACTCCTAGATGGTCTCCCGTTCGAAGGCAAAAAACTTGTCCATCCGCAGTCTTCCTTAACTCCTCTGCAAAAATCTCCGTTTGGTCAATAGCATCCGAAATTTTTAAATTTTCATTCATCAAAAGTTTCACTGCGTTGCCAAATTTAACATCTGCTTTTAATAGAGACGAAAGCCTATTGAGAATATATGCGCAACTCCATCTATCACCTTCCATATCCCGTTTTCCATGAATTCGAAGTCCAGGCGATGCACAAGTATGATGTCGAAGCAAGCAGTGGACATTCCACAGGGTACATGCAACGACAGTCTCTCCAATTATTCGAAGGTACACATTTTTGAAATTCACATTTCCGTGAGGTAAACTGTGCAAATGCCAGTGTTCCAGGGCACCAAGGATCGACATCGCAATAACTCTCTGTTGATGCTCATTAAGTATATCGACAGAAACCGAATCCAAAGTACAGTCAAACCATCCAGATGTAATAATACCACACCAAGAAGAATCTCCTAGAGATGGGATAATGTCTTCTTGGTGCATCACACACACATGCTTGGTAACCAGGTTACAGGAGTTGATACATATTTCGCTATCGTCAAAGCGAAAAAGATGAAGCGTTCGTTCACTCGGACCATCCCCGTCAAAATACAGCAGTCGTATCATGGAATCATCCTTCATATATCCAATTATCTCATATCCTTCCGGCAAAAGCAGAGAGATATTATCCTCTCCATTTCCGTCGGAATACACAACAGCAGCCCTTTTCTCTGACTCCGATAGAGTGTGGATGACATTTTGAACTTCGTCCCTAGAACAAAAACGTTCCGCCTCCTCTTCCTCTGCATAAGCCATGCACCTTGAAAAAGCACCCAACTCCACTAGTATTTGAACCGCACACGTTAAACGGTAAGCAAACCGTGAACAATTAAAACGATCACTCCAAGCTTTTTCAACGAGTGTCACTTGTTGAGAAGGTAAATAATTAACAACATGACGAAACACGGAAAACATAGAAAATACCACATGGTACGGGAGCCGACGAAGAATCGTGGGTGTGATTGGTTGGGAACTTAGTATCATAGACGGTGAAGTTAAAATCCCTCCATTGCCCCATGCTTTACAAGAAAAAGCGGCAAGTGTGGCCGATGCCGTAGCGTGGTCTAATCGAACAAATGGCGATAAAGGCAAATTGGAAGGTATATTGCGGAAGACAACTCTCGGTGATTCATTGTCCCTTGCCAATGAGAGGGTACCATCTTCCCGGTCCAAAAGAAAGTGCAAATGTGTTCCAACCAAAAACATTTGATTGGTAGAAGCCCCAAGAGGAGGAATAGTTTCTTGTGTGGGTAAAGAGTCGGCATCATACACATCTTGCACTGCCCACACACTGTCAACGTGTTTACACATTGCTCCAAAGTGAGGTGCCAGTTCCTGAAAAGTGGAAACTACAATACCAGCAAAATGCCCAGATCCCAGTGAGTCCCCTCGTGTGCGGTCGGAACGATCCATCTGAATGACAAATGCAGACAATCCAGTCATTGAAAGAGGTGATCCGATAACTGCTTGACCACCCTCATTGCAACATCTGGCCGTGAGACCATTTCTGGAAACACTGACATTGTGAGGCTCGTATAAAACCCACTCTGGTAAGTAGGATCCAGGATCTGTTGCATCATCATTGAAGCACGTGACAGATCGGGCATTTTTTGCGGCACTTGGTGGGTGAAGATGAACAATCACCGGATTCGCCCCCACATTCATGACAGCTATCTTTGGCGGTAAACCTCTTGCTGAGGACAACCGAAGATCGTCTGAAGCAACATGACATCGTATGTTGTCATCCTCGTCGTAAATCAGAAAATCGCCATCTACAGTAAACGCGAGGCTAAGCACTTCATTCCGGGAAAGGCTGAAACTGCAACGAATAACATGATTTTGGATTTTGTCCAAAAAAACGGTAGTCATAGACTTGGGCACAATAACATGAACCTCGAGAAAAAAAATCTTCTCATTTGTTTCAGACGTCACCGAAAATTGCCAGAATCGGGGCTTCTCTCTTGGCCACTTTTCAAAATCAAACGATCCTTGAAAGATACACCTCTTGTTTGGTTGCAGTTGAGCCGTATCACGACCACCCTCCCACATCCATCCGTCCACGGATTTCAGAGTCAAAGGGATCGAGGAGGGCAAATTCATTTTCTTCACAACCAAACACAAATGAATGCGGTCATCGCTGAAAATGCATAGGTGGTGTAAAGAAGAAGCCAATGTTGGCAATTCGCAATGAATAGGTCCTCCTTTAACGGCATAGTACATCTGGGGTGATGACAACAAATCCTGTCGAGTCCCATCTCGAAGTATAACCTCCAATGATACAGCAAAAACCTTTAACGGGGTATCTTTTTCAACGCGGAGCGGGAGATCTGAAAGAAACATAATTTTCCAAGAGTCGGAGATACGTGAAAAAGAAATGGACACAAATGCCCCCATAGTGTCATGATATCTAAAAGGGCAAACAAATCCAGGTGACTTTAGTTCCTCTGTCCCCTCAAGCAAGACTTCTGGTGATATTGTGTACTCCAAGTTGCAACGATCACAACAAGACATATCAATGCAGTTTTCAATTCTTGTCGCATGAGTTTTTGGATCAATGCAAAACGTATGAGTTGTGGGATCAAGCAAAAGGGACCTCGCACATACCGCACTAGCAACCAAACTCAAGCGACTTTGATGAAATATATACCTTGTAAAGATACTAATAAGTTGATCCTCTTCGCGCAAGAAAGGCACGTGTCCTTTTCCAGTTTTTTGACAAATCCCCTCACTCGAAAAAGGTAGATTGCAATCCGGGCAGATGATGATAGGGATTAAATGATCTACAGAAAGAGTCACATGATGGTTGGGAATTGCCTCACACCTCGCCAATACATGCCAATTCTCGTTTGGATCATCAACGATTCGAACCATTTGTCCTGACAAATCCGTTTCAGTGGCATTCGCCACAAGTGCAAGGTCACCCTTCCCAAAGACATTGAAAGTTGTGGGTTTCTTCGTAAACAGGGGTAGCGTGACCATGCCGTCACGCAATTCCTCAACAAAGTTTCCCCTCATCATACTACTCAGCAGATTTCCCGCAGCCTCTGCGTCACAAAACGCAGTTGTACTCGAAGTAGCGATTTTTGCTAAGAGGTCAATGACACTTTTATCCTCAAAAATTGTGGCGGCAAACGAGGCACCACCAACATACGCAATCAACGCCGCCAAAATGCGTGTCACCAACAAACCCTTCAATGCAGGAAAAACAGCCTGGTTAGGAGCCAAAAAAACCTTCTCCATAAAAGCACGGTAAGTGATGCGCCCTCGAAGTGCCCGAGGCTCCGCCGGAATTTCAGCAAAAGGTAACGGCGATTCACTTTTTTTACCCACAAAAATTGTCAGCATCCCATCATCCTCAAACTCATCCCCGACCTCCCCCAAATGGCCATCACTGCTATTGTAAAAGCGAACGCCACAACTTGAGGTGGTATTGATGTAAAGTGCGTACATTTGATTCGCTCGAAGATGTAAATTGAGAAGTCCAGGAGAAAAGGACTGCTTGTCTGAGAGATGAAGATCTTTAGAGATGACTTCTTGCCATTGGCTTGCTGTTTTTTCGGCGCCTTCCATACTACCCTCCTTCCAAAAGACTCTTACATTTACATTGTCCGTTGTTGTCTGAGCAACACAAAAGACTTCTTCCAACAGAACATCCCTCTTACTGCGAACATCAAACATGATTCCATTGTATGATGCAGAATTGTTTTGGTTCAGACGTCCACCAGTAAAAATGGAACAAATCTCATTGCATGTCATGATGTTACTTGTTGTGGTGGCAACAATGTCACCCGCAAATCCCTGCACACCGTAAAAGCTATTCTTCACTACATAGCTCTCATCACTGGATTGTATAAAACATGAAAGTTTGACGCCTTTTCCATCCTCCAAGACCCCCTTCAACTTTGAACAAATGGCCACAAATAAATACTTTCCTCTCTTCAATAATAGTGATAATCCATCCATGCAGAATTCACAAATGTCGTTTCGAAGAGGCAGCATAGCGTTATAAGCCCAAATCCATTCTCGCTCCGCGTTTTTCACACCAGAAATACCATCCAACGAGGAATAAAACAGAGACAAAGAAAGATGTGTGGAACCCATAGCATGCCTGACTCCAGCACCAATAAGAATAGGGAAAGTAACCTTCTGAATCAAAATGGAGCCCTCAAAGACTTCGAGAAAAAATTCCGCATTTGAAACCACACGAGTCGATACAGGAATACTTCGAAGGAAAATAGCATCACCATATCTCTCATTTTTATTCTGAAGGCATCCCAATGAAGATGAAGTTCTCTCTATAAGCGGTGGCCTCGTATCTTTCGTCTGCATATACATGATGGATCCACAAAATCCCCGTGGGGTGGAAACCGTCTCCAAAAATGGTGAGCTACTTTCACTCGTGCGTCCCACAAAAACTGTAAGAATACCATCAGAATCCATTTTACTGGAAATAGCCCCTGAGCAGCCATCTTCTTTGGAGTAATGTCCAACCCCACAATTGTGAGTAGCATTAATGTAGAGAGCAAAGGTTGCATTCGATTCAATATGTATCCCAGAAAATTTGACTGAAAACTGATGTTCAGAGCGCATTTCTACAAAGTTGGAAAAAACTTTGGTCCACGCTGTCGCTTCACGTTCATGCATATGATGCGACCCCTTCTTGAAAAAGACTTCCACCCGATGTCTTCCAGTTGTATGCGTCATGACAGATAAACCAGTTAGCACTATTGTATCGTGTGCCAAAAGGTCAAACATAATGCCATTGTAAGAACCGTTGCGTTGAGGTCGATACTTCGTTTTGCCTACTTCAAATACACGCAAAACCGTGCTTGTCGGCAAGGTGGGGAGAGAATACAATCCTTGTGGGACCTGATGAGGTCCCTCATTATCCACAAGATATAAAGAAGATAACTGTAAAGAAAACCAAATGCGTTTTTCTTCATCATCGCGTACATTGGCTGAATTATTTTCAATCGATACCACTGTGCCTCTTTTTGGTACATTAAGACTCCCTGCCTTAAAAGCCACTCGAGCGTCAACCTTCAGTCGTGTGGAATCTGCAGCAAGAGCACAAAAGCGAACATCTTTAGCCCGCACAGCATATTGTCTCCTTCCCGGACATGGACACAGGCATTCCACAACACCAACGTCATTGCCGTAAGTTCGCACAACTCTTCCCAAATGAGACTTCCCATAAAGCGGAGGAACAATTGTTGCAAACATCCCACGCGTTGAAAAGTAAACTACGAGTTGTTCAGGTTTAAAATTCTGGTGTTTCTTCACTTTGCACATGGCCAGGGGCAATCCATTTCGGTAAACAGCCAACATACTTTGATCCAGTGTAATCGTAAGAGTGTCGCCAATGGCAAAAAGCACCCCAGAGCCTTCTTCAGTCACAATTGGCATGAGTTGCCAAAAGGTGCCCGAGTGTGCCAGAGTTTGGGCAACACTATCAAAAAGAAAAAATGAGGAATTCATGATATCTGTCTCCGGTCCAATGGCGCCCTTTTGAATAAAACCAACAGCCAAAGGTGAAATACTCGGTTCCACAACACTATTATTTGCAGACAAAAATCCACTCATGGAAGTAACAACACACAAATCACGTGAATAAATGGCAAAGCGGAGAGTTGTTTCCTCCTCGGCAAGGCCATTACATGATACCACAACAGGATGCATATGAAGACCCGAAAGAGAGGAACTCACCAAAACAGAAACTCTGTTGGTGTCCACGAGAAGATATAACGTAGTTGAAGATGAAAGTTTCGCCTTGGCATCACACCACGTGCCCCATATATTGTGGTCTGCAATTAAGCGCTCAAGCTCACTCATATTGATAGCTCTATAATCACTTGCAAGCTTTGTCACACCCAGAAATAAACCCGCTTTGTTCAACGATCGACCTTCCTCACTAGCACCAAAATTTAACTCAATTACGACCCGTGTGCCGTGTGGTATCACGGTTGAACTTACCAGAAGCATATCACTCTCCACTCGACGGCTTGATTTCAAGATATTCCCCACTCGCCATTGCACACTGTACGGTTGCAAACCTCCAAACGGAAAACCGTCTACACCAGCAACATGACCAAGTGAAATATCAATACGTTGATTACTAAACGTATTCAAAGGTTCTAGCGTTGCAAAGGCCAAGTCATCGCTCGCCATGCAGATACCCCCCTCTATATTTACATTGACGCCTTTATCGTCCAGCCAAGTAAGTACGGTGTTTTCCACAAATTCAACAACATCACCAACAATCAATTCTTTGGGACTATGTCTCGAGACAAGGTAGTCTAGGAGAGGTTCCTCCACCTGAAAAAGATGAAACATAATTTTGGGGAATCGCCAGCTGTTAAAACATTCTTGACACAAATACATGCCTCCCTCGCTTTCGTACCAAAACTTTGATAGCTCCATCTCACAGGATGTACAATGCACCCAAGAGGAATGATTTTCCCACGCCGCAATCATACCAAGAGGAAAAATGTTCCTCGCAGGAAAGACCCGAGAATTCAAAAATGAGAATACCACAACTGTGTCTGAACCGGCCAGTACGAATGGTCTTAACTTCTCCCTTTCAGGAATTCTCTCGAACAAAACGCCAAAATCCACACATTTCCCACTTCGAATACGAGAAAACGATGCCGTTCCTTCTCGACGATCAACTTGCAAAATAATCAGATCCCCTGAACCAAACAAAATATATCCAGAACTGAATATCATTCCAGGTTCCACAGAACAATTAATACTGTTTGATTCTTCAGCATCATGGCTACATAATGCCCACGTTTTCTTACAATGGGCCACCTTTTGAGGGTCCGTGAAAAGCTCCGTCTCTGATGAAACTCCCACATACAAAAGGGTATCGTTGCTTGCCTTTGTGGTAAGGCTTACTGTAAAAGTAAAGAAGCTTTCAAGGAGCACATTACCTCGAATCACCGAATATCCACTCCCAGAGGTTACACCAATAGAAGGATTAGGAGTATAAAGAGAACTGGTTGACAATCGTTGATCGATCGTTACAGGTGTCCCTGATACAGGTTGTCGACCATCCACCATAATGAATGAGCTCGATGTCGATTGAAGTAATGATAGGGGCATGTCCGTGGAATTAAGATCCATTGCTATTGTATCCATATTCTCTTGAAGAAGATTATTAAGACCTCTCACAAAGTCCAAGTTCATGGCCTCACGGGTCACTTCAAAAAACTGGCTTTCAATTTCTCCACGTTTTTCTTCCTCATACTTCATCAAAGGCACAATCATCGACGCCTCGAACAGAATCCGAGAAAGCTCTGCAAGAAGCCAACCACAACATCGCAAACTCTCAGTTTCTAAAAGTGAAAAAAGGGGCGGCTTCACAAAGGAAGGTTTGATATCAAGGAGATCAGTGGAAAACACTCGCATATCCCCATCGGCTTCAAGGTATACAATAGCCTTTGAAGCTACATCAAAAATAGAGTCTACCACAACGGCTCCATGTGTTTCATGCAGACAAAATTCACAGCTCTTCTCTCCACCTAGTACTGCCAATGCAAGAAAACTATTGTCAATATCTTGATGGGATCGCGACAAAAATCGGTGAATCCACTGAGAGACCACGTCTCCAAAATATGGAACAACATGAAGCTGTTGTAACGTATGAATGGCTACACTGCGACGTAAACCACTCAAAAACAATTCACAGTTGTCTTCAATTGGAGTAGGGGCCTGAATCAACTCACAACTTGCGTCTTCATTGAAATGGAAAACAAATGGATATAAATCGTCCACACGTGAAATATTGGCAAAAGCCAATCCAATGAGCACCATCTTATCCCGATAATATGTAATCTCTCCCACGTCGGCATTTAGCTCCAACCACACAATTTCATCATTTCCATATATTCGGCGCTGACTACTTCTAGGAATACAATGACGACGCAAAAGAAGATGTGGCACTTGATCTTGATCATCTGTGTCTTGTAATACATAGACATCGTCCCGACTGATGAGACTTGTCATGTTTGAAACAGGTGGATGTCCGTGAGTAAGACCCACGTAGTAGCATCCACCTAATGGCGCACCTACTCCCCGACCCTCCTGCTGGCGTCGGCGGATCCGAAAACCAATCATATGCCTTCCTCGAGCTGGCATAGGTGAAGAACCATAGAAAGCCCCCTTCCCCATCACTGTAGTTGCCCCTCCGAGCCATCGAGGAACAAATGCGGGTGTCTCATTCTCTCGAAATAATTTCGTGCGTGCAAGGTC